AGTTAACCCCAGCTGCCCCCTGCTTCCCAGCCATGCAGTGTGATACTTGCATGAGCAGCTCAAGCATCTTCCTAGAGAAGCCCCAGGTTTTCTGCGTCACTGCTCTTCTTCCAGTTCCACCTTGGTGTCACCCCAGCTGAGCCACTGAATTGGCAGGGGCCATCAGGGGAGAGCATTTACCACTGCTGCCACAAAGCACTCAGATGCTCCACACATAGGAGCAGTCCATGAACAGGCCATTAATTCAGAGGCAGGGGATGCTCCTCACCATCTCCCTACAGCCTCCAAAGGGCCCTCCTAAAAACCTAGTGAAAATAAGTCTTTTCTTCTCTACCGTGCCTCAGTGGAGAAGTGTGTGTTGGAGGTGTTTCCTACCCACACCAGCCCCTCTCAGAGCTGTGTCTTCCCTGAAGGCGACAGGGTGGTGGTGTGAAGGACCGACACCATGCCCAGTTTCACAGGGGGAAGGAGAAAGGCTCTGCCATGGCCAGAGCGACAACAGAGCTCAGAGCCTGCCTGCCCCAGTGGGTCACCTGTGGGAACAGTGATGACCCTCCTTGGGGCCAGGAAAGCTTGGCCTGTTGTTTGCAGCCTCTCAGGTGCCAAAGCGGATCAGCTGTGGGAGAAGCAGATGGGGAAGGGGCTGGGGTGGCACCCAGGGGACCATACCTGGAGCCCATCAAAGCAAACCCTCTTAGGCATATTTAACCAAACACTTACTTTCCATTTTATTCAATAATTGCTTTAATACTAAAATGCATTAGATGCTCAAAGCAGAGAAAAGAAAAAAATCACATTTAGGTGGAAAACAAAGTTCTCATCAGATGGAAAAAACCCAATGTGGCAGGTACACCATTTTGAAACAGAATCGTAATAATTTAATAAAGCTGCTTTATCATCTTCATAAAATAGACAGAATGGTGATTCTTTTTTTTTTCCTTTTTCTGTTTTGTTGTTTACAATGATTCAATCACTGTGAAAATGTACATAACATACATATCAGCATATACAACAATTTATTCTTCATATACTCGGCAACGGAGACACCATGATGAGACGTACCGCGCTCAGTCCCGCGGCAGCCCTGCCTGCTGCTGGCAGGCAAGCAGCAATGGTGCCACCGCCGGCTCTTCCAGCGAAGGGACGGTGCTGGTGTTACAGTGCGAGACCCACGGCTCGTACCTGCCACCCTGCAAGGAGGCGCGTGCTGCTGCAAACCAGTTTGCGTTGTGTTTGAAGATTATATCCCAGCTTAGATCAGCTAAACATCAGCCAACGCCGACAGAGGATCCGTCTCAGCAGCGCTCGCAGCAGGGTCGGCTGGGCTTCTTCCCGACGGGTACCACAGCTCACAGGTTGGATCAGAGATTACCCATAGCTGCAAAAGCAGCTGTAGCAACAAGATCATCCATTTTCCCAAATGACAGACAAATGTGTTTCCATTCATAATTAATTTTTTTTTCCCCCAAGAATAATTTCAACATATTCATCAGACAGCGTGTTCTTTACAAAAGCAACTTGTTTCCTATTTGAAAAAAAAAAAAAAAGGAATTCACTTCTGCACAACGTGTGATCCACAGGCCACCTCCAGCTTCACAACAAACAGGGAACAGCAACAACCTCAGCAGGACGGTGCTCGGGGGGTATTTTTCCAGCCATCAGCCATCCCCCACAGCCTTCCATCATCCCTCCCGGTGCAGCCCTGCAGCCTTGAGGGTTGGAAAGGTGAGGGGCAACCCCAGGAGCAAGGAAGGGTCCCTGGGTCAGCACAGGGTGGGTTCATCTCCCCCTCTCTGGTCCCCAGCCCTAGGGCTGCTCCAGATGGGGTCCTCGTCATGCTTGAGGGGAGAATCATAGGTTGCTGCTGCTCTCCTGGATAAATGGGATAAACAGGGGAGCAGAGCAAGTTTGGCTGAAGGAAAGCAACAAATCCCAGCGATTTTTCCTAAACCAAATCTGAGGACAGTTTTAAGTTATTAAAAAGCACAATAATTACATCTGGAACCCTCCCCAAACCCTACCCCCCACCTGCCCTGCAGCCTTGAACGTTTTTCCATGGCCAGTTTCAACGCAACTAGGAAAAAAACCAAGAGAGCCTGCGATTTGCCCAGGAGCCCTGAACTCATCTCTCAAGTGACACAGAGGCACAGTGACAGGAGTAGCAAAATATTCAGGAGAGGGACAAGGCAGCAGAGCTGTGGCTGCTCTCTGGCTCTCCCCTCGGCCCCACACAGTGAGGACGTGCCAGGGAAGGGCCCCTTGCTCAGCATCCCTGGCTGCAGCCTGGGTCAGCCCAGAAAACTGGTGTTTAAACGATTTTCTTGGAGGCATAAGGGTTTACTGACCTCTTTAATGCCCCCTTTTAATACAGAATTATTTCACATTCCTTCCCGGCTGCGCTTTTATTCAGAGTGGCAAGGAACGTTTCCTCTGGGTAAATTAGAGAAATGTTTCTACTTTTTTTTTTCTTTCTTCCTTTTCAGTTAGCATCTATTTTTCATCCAAAACGCCGGGCTGGTGGTGGCAGCTCTGCAGACAGAGGGCAACGCTCAGCAGAAATTAACGGCCGGTGCTTTTTGGGCAGCTGGGGATGATGATGGAGCGCCCAGGGACAGAGGGGACCCACATTCCCCACCCCTGCAATGGGCAATGGGGGAAACTGAGTCCCATCCTACTGGAGGTGGGGAGTAGATGACGGGGCGACACAGGGCCGTGGCCCTGCAAAGTCACGAGGATCTGACAGACAGGGCATTGCAGGCTCCGTCACTCAGCAAATGCATACAAGAAACTTCCTCCAAAAAAACCACCCAGAGCTGTCAAAAACAGGTAACATCAGAATAAACCCAGCCTAACAGTTACAGAGAATTCAGTTACTCCAATAGCCCCAAGTCAGGCCTTTTCTTCATTGCTTGTGTTATAATAATACATACATTTTCGAAAAAAAAAAAACAGAAATAAATGACAGCAGTAACAGTACACAGGCAGGAAACACTGCAGGAACAGAAATAACATAATCCCTGAAAAATGGGCTCAAACACGAGAACAGAGGGTAAAATTCCCAGTTCACTTTCCGGAGGGATGCAGGACACCACATTAATGTGTGGGATGGGAGCTGAATGAGGTAGTCGTTAACACCAGCAAGGGATGTGTCACAATTTTCATTAGATGACCTTTTTTTGTTGGTTCTTTCCCAATTCCTGGCCGTAGCAAGTGGCAGGGGGAACAGACTGACTGTGGACCTGTCTTGGACCAGCTATGGCTTCAGGCAGGATCAATTTGCCCTGAAGAAATGAATGGCTGGAGATTAATTCTATTTTGAGGATAACAATGACTGGAGTTTGTTTTCTTGTTGATGTTTTTAATTTAAATAAATCAAAGTAACAAATATTTTATCACGATATGTAGACCTAGAAAGACTATTTCTCTAGAAACCACTAATTTCAACTTGCTGGTACAGCAAACATTGGCAAGAGCTATATTTTTCCCTTCCATAACCAATTTTAAATTCTAGGAAACATTTAGGGTAGGAAAATCTGGCTGGTGAAGGGTTAATAATAATAATAATAATATGCTAACTGAAATCCTCCTACCTTACTCATACCTCACTGAGGAATTATCACTGCAAGAGAGCAGAGAGCTGTGAAACCGCTTCACTCTCTCCCTTCTATAAAATGGCTATTAAAGTAGCTCAATTTTTAAATCAATTTTATATGAGTAAATTTGTACCCACACAAAAAAGTCCTTAATCATGAGAAAAAAATAATGAATTTCTTTAATTTTTTCTCCATTAAGAAGGCACATTAATTGAATTAGTAGCGTTGTTACATATCACCTGTCTGCCCCTAAATTAACATCACTATTGCTCATTCCATACTTACGTATGATGCAGGGATAGAAAGAAATCAGAACAGTCTGAAATCCATGCCATGATGACATACAAACACACATATACTTGGCATAATCACGATTGGGAAATGCTGACTTGGAAGTGTGTGTCTAATTGACAAGGTAATTTAGATCTCTTAAATAATTCCATTTGACTTGGTAATGATTGGAGACAGGGGATATCTAAATCTGGGAACTGGAAAAAAATACAAAACAATGAACTTCTGGAAAAACTTTCCATGCATTGCCTTGAAATTATGCAAAAGGAATGTATCAGGGAAAAAGTTCAGCACAGTGCATCTGACAATTGCAATCCAGGCAGAATTTTCCCCAAAACATCTTCCCATAATGCCTTGTCACTGCCCTGCAAGAGCCAGAGGAGGCTGCAGGCGATGGAGTGGGCTGGAAGAAGCACTTGCTCCACTGGGTCTGAAAACTGCAGGTTGCCCAAAGTTTAAGTAAGAAGATTGTGATTTTTTTTTTTAAGCTTGAAAGCCTTTTGCCATCACTAGACATACAGTAATTTGCAATATCAAATACAATAATAGTACAGATAAGCATGTGACAGCAAAAGGATTCATAAATGCAGGGGTGTCCATAGCAAAACAGCAACATCTTAAAACACAACCTCGTGTTGAGTGAATATTAAAACTCACCTGACTGTCACTTTGAACAGTCACACACAAGAAATGGCTGCTATCTTGTCTAGACTAAAAAACTGCTGGGTGATCACTAAAGATGTCCGAATAAGGAATTTACCACTCAATTCTTTCCAGGAATGGAAATTTATCTTCGTTTTGAGATATAAAAATATATAAACTCCGAGGAGGGGATACCGAGCACTCCTGAGGACCAGGGGGGTCTCGCCTCTGCCCCCTGCCACCCACCACCTCCTGGCAAAAGCAAAACACCAGCTACTTCGCTCCGGCTGCACACCCCTGCTGCCTGTTGAGACAAGTGGGATTGTCACATTAACGATAGCTTCATTTATAAACAATACATTTAGGGAAAGCTTTTAAATACAGCAATCTGTGAACCATTGGTAAGCGATAAAAACAATCTGCGCTGGGAGTCGTGCGGTCCCTCATCCTTCTCCTCCTGCCGCCGGGTGCCGCTCAGAGGACGATGTCTTTTAGTCTCCGGGCGCTGGGCGAGTCCTTTTCCCGGCGTTCCTGCAGAAGCGGGTTGCCCTCCTGCCCACTGCTCTCACTGTCCGCCCCCCGGGGCTCTGCCTCCGTTGGCCGGGAAGGGCCACTGTTCCCAAAGGGCTCCCGTTCCCGGTTGCCAGCGCAGTGCCCAGCGCTGTACGGTGCCGCCGGCTTGCCGGACAAAGGGCTCTTCAGGTGGAGGGGCGAGGTGACGGGGCTGACGGCCTCGCAACCGTTGCCCGCCTCGCGGCCGGCACCGCTCACCTTGGGGCTGCAGGCGGCCGGGTCCACCGTTCTTTTGCCTTTGGGGTTGGCGAGCCGCTCGTCGGCGAGGGGCTCGCCGCCCTCTTTGCCGAAGGTGGCGAAGGTCCTTTTTGTGCTGCAGTCTGCATAAGGCTCCGCGTCCACCGCCGTCGCCTCGATGGAGAGGGCGATGACGTTTCTCCCATGCTCGGGGGACTTGGCGCGGCTGGGGACAGCGCCACGGGGCATCCAGCACCTGTCCGAGTGGCCCAGGATGCGGCACTCCTCCCTGCAATGAAATCCTTCGCTCTGATCTGCGTGGAGAAAACACAAGGGCTGCTAAAGAGTGGAGCCCCACCAGGGGTGCCCACTGCCCCCCAGCCTTCCTGGGGTGGAGGACCACCCGCTGAGCCAGGTGCTGCCCATCACTCCCACCCAAGCAGCAGTTATCCTACCCCAAAGAGCAAGCATTTTTAAGGCAAGGCTGGGAAGAGGGATTTTTACTGCCATTTCTCTGCTGCTGTAAAGACCGGAGTTCTATTTCCAACAGGTTGTGTGTCACCTGCCGCCGTCAGACCTGCAACCTGGGGAAACGACTTATGGCTGCGAATGCATCTCAGTGTGGCTGTCCCACGTGTCGAGATGCTTGGAGTCAGCAGTTTCTGGGTTTAGTAACCAGTGCGAAAAGCCACCATGTTTTAAGTTCAGTTTGACGTGACATTTAAGCGTGACTTTTTGAAGAGGGGGAAAGGAACTGAGAGAGAAGAGGGTTTTCTTTTTTTTTTTTTTTTTTGGTGCATATGTGTATTTTAACTTTCCACTTAATCCCCACTGACCTCCCACGCAACAAAGGCTTTATAAATCTCCAAGACTGCCCACTCTACTGAAGATTAAATGTGTCATTCACAGTGTTGGGGCTTTATTCATATGAGAGCAACAAAGATCCCTTCTCTCAGCCTGGGGCTGTCCCAACACCACTTTACAGGGCTGAAACACAGAGTCAGGTTTAATCCTTTCCAAGGACCTTCCATGGCCAGGTCTGAGGGCTCCCAGGCAGGTGCAAACCCTCGTACCCGGTGCTCGCATGCATGCCTGCGCTGCTGGCCCATCCCAAGGGACTGCACGGCCTCACCCCCCAGCATCGCGGATGGACAGACTGGGGCCCAGGCAAGCAGCTGGGCTCAGCCAAGTGCAAAGCTGGAAATAAAATCCAGCAGCCTCGACATCCCCAGCCTTTACTGAGCATCCGACCGTGGCTCCCCCTGAACACTGCAGGCTCCCGGCTCCTTTTCAGTTTCAGCTTACAACTTTTCTGTCATTTGATAAGAATGTGTAATTGCAGCTAGCCCTCATAAAAAAACTACACAAAGACATAGCTCCTTCCTATCGTAACCTACATACACACAAAGCAGCATTAAAGCACTAATGCCATTACCCATACAAGACCGTGCTCAGTCGGTGCCGGTTTGATGGATCGAAGCCTGTGAAGGTGCAGACTCAGCCTGGGTTTGCTTCCCGTCCATCTGCAAACCGTTCATTTTGATGCCTTGTACATCTGTGTGCATAACCTCCGCTCCTCAGACACATTGGTATTTCCACCACATTCGAGCACTAGGGCGGCTGATAAAAATTCTCAGCACATAACACAATGCACCAAAATATGAGCAGCTTAACACTTACAGAGAATAAACGAGTAAAAGGCAGACTGAAAAAAAAAAAAAAAGGATTTTTTTTATTTAAAGGAGAAGAAGCCAATTAATTGAAAAATCTACAGGTAAAACATTAGGATTTTTTGTACATCAGAGCAGCTACCTGGTGGTGCAGAGCGCGGCACCGGGTGGCTGTGTAGGAGGTCTGGGTTTCAGCAGCCACCTTTACAGCAGTCTGAGAGAAAGATGCTCTGAGCCTTACATGCAGAACAACCTGCACCAAGATCTAAAAGCCCATGCTCTTCTACTTTGATTCTGTTACTTTCAAGTACTTGAGCAAAAAAAAAAAAAAAAAAAAAAAAAAGAAAAATTGCCCAGAAAGTGTTGCTGTCTGCCTATTTATCCACAGCTTAACTTCAAAAGGGTGCTACAGGCATACAAAGTTGTGTAGTCTGGCTGTGATAGCAGAGGACTTGGTGATGGCTGGAGGGGCTACAGAAATATCTTGGGTTCTCATCCCTGATGAGACACTGATTTATTGTGCTGTGTGACCTTGGGCGCGTTGCTGGAGCACACATCACTTCAGTCTCTCCACAAACATGAAACGCTGGATCTGGGCGTGCCTGGGCTGGCTGGTCCAGTGCAGGAAGGCACGGGGGGAGCTGCTGCTTCTCACCTTCCCTGCTCAGCACCACGGCTCAGCCCCACATCCACAGGACCACCGCAGCTGAGGCAAACATGGAGCACAGATGGGTTTGTCTTGCCTTGACACATTTATTCCAAGCTGGCACATTTTACAGTTAAAAACAAATCAAGGACTTCACTGATTACTGCACTGCAAGTGGATATTCCTCAAACCCTAGAAAGTGACCCATGCTTTAAGAGTGGTTTTATTAAAGACCACTGACGTGGTGCCTATCTGCTGGGGAGCTGAGCAGCTTTGGGCACCAAGATGCTTGTCTGCAAGTCGCACCAGTGGCAGCTGAAATGCAGGCAGGAGAAGAGATGAAAAGCATTAAATTAAATTATACTGTTTCAATCTTTGATCTTATGAAAGGAATGTAATAAGTACAAAGACACTGGACTGACAGGCAGAGGGGCAGGAGTCATCATCCATCCACAGACCTGAAGGCAACAGGCAGCTCAACGGCACATTCTGCCCCCCTGCTCCTGTCCCCACCACATACATCAGCTTTGGTCTGCAGAGACTACATCCCACAGCCAGAAACCATCCTGCTCTCGGGGAAAAAACATGTCCAGGCTGCCCAGACCAGCTCTGATCTGCCAGCAGACACAGGGACCAACACAGACCACTAAGCTGCAGCTACTTCTCTGTGGCAGAACGAGGATCTTCAGCTACCCAACCAACCCTGTAGTTGATATAAAATACTACTTTTACGCCACTAGCATGCCCTGTTGATATACACAAACACCACACCACTCCTCTGCCATCCCAAGTCCAAAGAAGGCAAACTCAAAGGGGTCTGGGCTCCTCCACCAGGCTGCTGTCACCTCGCATCCTCCTCCTGTGCAGGAGCAGCTGCTGCCCCAAAGCAGAGGCAGGCATGGAGCCGCCAGGCATGGCTCCCGGTGCTGCCCTTTGCAGCTAGGTCTGACTCACCCAGCCTTAACGGTACCCAGGACGGTCATTCACATTCACAGGCTCTTTATTGTACTGTTCTGTCTCATTTTTTACCACTTTAACAATCGGAAATAGGACAACAGGAAATTCTTTTACAGCCCTAGACCTGCCCTAGTCAATATGACTGTTACTGTCTGCACTAAAAAATGTTCTTAATGCAAGGAGCTAACTCCAGGTAATAACCACTGCACCACACACGACGTGACAAGTGGCAGGCAGCCAAAACAGGCAGCTTCCCACCTCCGCGCCCAGCACACCAATGGCAGGGGTCTGAGCAAGCTGGTGAAACTAGTGCTCAACTGGACAGGGTGAGAGGCAAAGGAAGGAGGAAACCATTGAGGGGCAGCGCTGGGTGAGCAACACCACCGCTTTGCACAGGGCAAACGCCTCATCGCAGACAGGAGCCCCTGAAGAGCCCAACAGCCCCACTCACTGGAGGAGCCCAATGCACCGGGCTGGCAAGGACTCGTTGGCTGGCACAGGCTGGGGAAGGGGAACACCACAGCCCAGGACTTCCCAAGCCACCCTGAGCTGAGCTGGGCTTTCTAATGAGCCAAGCCTGCACACATCATGTGCATGCTGAGGAAAGTCCTATTGCAAATCTGGCTGTAGGGATACCCATGTCACACGCGGGCTGAACAGCTCAGGTGCCATGCATGGGTGATGGCTGTGCAGTCTGGCACACAACACGTGCAGGTCCTGCAGCAGCAACGTCCATTTTTCAGCCAGCCTGCCTTGACCCAGCACAAATTCAGAATCTTATTTCAGAGCACCTTAGGGCAGGGTCACTTTTAAAATGTTCACCAAGTACAAAAAGTCCTGGCAGAAGCCTCCCCATGAAGAGGTGAGCAGTTACCCTGAAGTCAGGCTTGGCAGAAAAAATGCAAATACATCATTGCTAAACTTAAGTCTCACATAGCAAATATGAAATGAAGTAAGACCAACGGCCACCCCTGGAATAAATATGCTCCTCAACAAGGACAGCAAAACCCATATTGAGCTCCAGATTTCAAACCTCCTCTACTTGCACCTCAGGGGACCAGCATAAAGGCAACTAATAACGAGCCCCAGCCAGCCCCGCATGCTTCCTGCACTGCCTGTGGTCTCAGAGCCAGGCAGCGGGCTGCCGAGAACCAGCGGCTGCAGGAAGACCTGGTGGGAGAGACGATGACACCCACAGCTCACCTGCGGGCAGACACACAGCCATCATTGCTGGCGGGGAACAGGAGCTGGGGACAATGGCACAGTGACACAAGAAGCAGGGAGGTGACATGAAACATGGGGCTGCCCTAGCTCCTGGAGCCGAGTGCCGTGATGCCTGCCCGGCTGAGACCCTCAGCACTTCCCAATCCCACCATGAAAACTCTTGGCCAGCAGAGCAGTGATACAGGATGGATACCGGAGAGCCAGGAGCCAAGAGGAGCTGGCAGTGGACATGGAGTGGACATTGGAGCAACAGAGCCTCCAGCTCCCCCCTGCATGGAGCCTCCTCTCGTTAGAAGGAAGGATTAACAAATATCCAGGGCGTACAAGTGCTTTCAGTCTCCTATTCAAAGCCTGCGTACCTGCAGCAGAGCAACATGAAGCTGGTGTGCCAGGTGCCCATTCAGCTCTCAGAGCAATTGAATTATCTCCAGTGGAATCGCAGCACTGGCCAAAGAGACAAAGTTAAATCGTAGCAAGGTGCAAGTGCCTGGGAATGTAATATTCCTGATAAATGGTCAGATGACATGTGCTGTTATACAATCTAAGGTGCAATTTGGGCGATGACAATAGTCCCTGGAGTTTCCATTTTCAAACAGCCGCTCAGTTCAATCCAATCCATGTCAGAGCAGCTTTGCCGAGGTGAGTAAGTAGAGCTCATTTGTGCTATTACATGAGGAGCGAGGAAAAGGAGCAGAGGAGTTGCTTGAAAATGAAAAATAAGGAAAAAAAAAAGGGTGACTGGAAGAATTGCAGCTTGGCTGGGATGTGAACAGGGCAGGGGGTGCGTGGGTGAGCATTGTGCTGAGCAGCCCCAGCC